ATACATTATGTCACTTGCTGTCTTTTGTCACAAGGTCTCCTGACTGTTCTGGGCTATTTCATGAATAAAAACACAAAAATGTAGAGAAAAAATCAGACTGAGCTGAGATACTCTAATGCTGACAGAAGAATCACAAAAAAATGAAAAAGATTGAGGTCATATTTTCTGACATGAGAAAAAATACTAAAAATGAAAGACAGATTGAGGTCAGATCACATAAGTATTTAAAAAATTTATTGTAATACTCCTACAAAAGCTGAAGTTGATGCTTTGCCAATTAGGCATTATACCATTGTATTTCTGGGATCAGCATCTATCTATCCATCAACCTCTACTTTGGTATTTCATTCAAATTCTTCTCACTCAGTATACCATGCCCAGCAAGTTTTTCAGCTTCTTGATCCTGATTTTGGGAAGATCTGGGGAAGAACAGTTGCTCCTCATTCATTGGGGTTGTCTCTCTTCCAACAAGTGGAACTGGCACTTTCTTTGCAGCAAGTATTATGATCAATTTTGAACCTCTTCACTGGAAAATCTTGAAAATAGGGACTCCTCTTACACCCTGGAATTACATGTACAACACATTTACAAAAAACTTTACAAGACATTGGGGGATATTTGAAACTATCTGCTGGGGGGAGGGGGGGATATTTTTGAAACCATCTGCTTGTGCATTTTCAAACTTGTTTCACCAGTAGTTTGTGGTAGACAAAACTGGGGGCATTACTTTTGGGGTGACTCTTGTACAATTGTTTCTCATGTGAAGTGCAACTTTGAAACCATGAATTCATAGCTCTCATCAAATAATCATTTCATTTACTCTTGAGTTTGCATTCAATTTCTGTGTTCTGCTGACATTCATCCCTGTAGGGACATGAGAAGAGTGCATCTCACCTCATTTTATGTCATTTTAAAGCCCCATATTGCAGAAGTATGCTCACTAAGACCACAAGGTATCACATTTTGAATGTGTATCAGACAAATGGAGCTCCAAATTTCTAGTATCAACCTAAAAATTAAGCAATTTTTCTATGCATGAGTCAAAAGTGCACTGCAAGATTCAAACTGGTGGGGTTAATAGTATTCATTCATGCCATGCAAAACTGCATTGACTGAATAGGAAAGAAGACTCAAAGAAGAAGCCAGCCTGAATTATTGATTTAGGTATACATGGTTACAGATTCTTGCATGCCAATCTCACCTAGATCATTTTCTTCCAAAGTCTCTGAGTCTTGTGAATTATGGTCAGCAATCTCCTCCCTAAGGGGCTTGACTTCCTCTGAATTGCTGTTTAAATCCCCATCATGCTGGATAGGAAAATGAATAACAGAGAATGGCTTCAACTTTGGCATAGTTCATCAGCCAAGAAATGTATATGCCCTGGAGCTTACCCAAGCAGGAGCATAATTCTCTTTTTCCCCTTCCCCTGGAAAATATACAGATGACTAAATAAAGAATAATGAAGAGATTTTAATATTGGAAAAAGCATAGAATGAGAGCAATGAAAACAGTCCACCAAATAATATACAAAGGGCACATTTGCTCAATGACTCACAGTGTAAGCCAAGAATATAAGAGTCCCTGACTTCTTTCTTTGATACATCTGGCTCCTGTGTAGGGTTGTGTACTTGCTTTGTCTCTGAAAGCATGCTGAGATGTAAGAGGGCACAGTCTCTAGTCTTGAAAATGAGCCTCCCCAGTTCTGGACTGTGATCCACAAGATGCCAACTAAACTCCAGAAAAAGATTTACTATTCTCCTGTATTGGTCTACAGGGACACCTGCTGATGAGAAAGGGAGTCAAATAAACATCAATTTCTTCTTGAGAGAGAAAGAAAGAGAAGACCATACATGGAGGGGATGACTTCTCCAACTGCCTCATCCATGCTGAAGAAACTTTATTGAGAAGTTTCTGACTATTGGAGCTAAAGTTGGATGGTTTGTTGACCAAATGATTGTAGCCCATCCACTTGATGCCATAGAGAGCAGTGGGGTCAATGAGGGCAGTGAAAAAATATTCACTCAATGCCAAAAGCATCACCAGTCTCTCTTCAGCATCTAAACAGTTTTCCATGCATGCCTGCAAGGTCATCAAAGTAACACAAGGGCAAGTTGAATGCAAGAAGGAGTAGCCTTTCAAGATAAAAAAAAGTTTTCTGCTATAACACATTTATGAGCATTTTTCCCTATAACTTAGCTTGTAGGATGCAGAATGTAACTTAGCAGCAGGAACATTGAAGTTACAATAGAGTATTTCAGCCTGCATCTCTGAATTCAGATTATGAATAGTGTAGTAGATGTCTGCCAGTCACAGATAGCAACATTGGTGCATGGCATTCAGCACCACACTACATTAATGTACCATGGAGGAAGTCTGTAGAGAGTTTTAATTCCAAAAATCCTTTAGAACAATGGTTTATGCCATCTCACTTTCCATACTGTTCTATGAGTCTACCATAAGAATCAAGTTTCACATGTGCATGAGTATGTGTTGTTTATGGCATGCACAGCAAACAAGGCAATAGCTTCAATGGCACTGTCACTCCACTCACTTTCTGAAAGGCTACAAAAAAATACCACAAGGAAAATCATACAATATGGAAGTACAGTGAAACTAGAACACAAGTATGACACCTAATCTGAAAAATTGATAATGGATATCCAAAGAGAATGGAAGTATACTGAACTTTCAGCCACATGTGCTATCATCAAGCAGTCCTTGTTTTATATATTGATGAAAATGAAGGTCACAGCTTAAGAATGGTTCTTGATGACCATTCATACTGTTCAAAGTATAAGATTATAAGATTTCTTGGAATGTTGGATACTTACAAGTGGAAGAATCTCTAGAAAAGGGGAGCAACTCACTAGGGCCTTGTGGATTTCATTATGAGAGAGGCATCGGAGAATGCCAAATGGAGAAACAACATGGTTCCAAAGAAGGCTCTCACTTGCTTTCAACACTTCCTCTCTATAATGGTCATACCCCTGTAGGAGGTAATTTCCTATGGAACCAGTCTTCATTTGTCACACTGACAACACATAATCCAATACAACACTTAAGGCTCATTCATGTTGGCAACATTGCACCATTCAAACTGCTTGCAATGAACACAGTCAATGATATATCATTGGTAAAGGCTTTATTCCAAGGGGGCAATAAATGTTGACTGAATGCTTCCACCAGAAAGGTTTTACATGAAAGTTCTCATTGGCAGACACCACAAGTTCAATGATCACAGAATGTCATTTGTGATGAATGCAATCACACATACTACTTTCATGACATGGTAATGTAAAAGTTGATGGTCAATATCCTTTCATTCTAAAAACTGTTGCACCTGATCACTTCAAGTAAAATAAGAATGACATTGAAGGCCTAACAGGCGAATGTTTACTGCTTGGCACACTTTCTTCAAGCATGTACATAATAATACAACTAAATAAAAAGTATGTTAAATGGGATTTCCACTGTGACCATTCCCCTAATCCATATTAATAGGTGCACTAGATTACTCATGTTCAAAAAAACAAGAGCACACTACATAACTTGCATAATTTTCATTTATTCTCTGATAAGGAGCACATCTTGAAAACATGTCCAATAGTACAGTACTTATTGCAAAAATTGAATAAAAGACCAAGATAACTACCTGTACTAGTACTGATCTAGGTGTTAGTATGAAAATAGTTCAATAGTTTTTTTTTTAAAAAGGAAAATATGCAGCCATATCACCTCAGCTCATCTGTTCAATCATTAGGTTTTCAACATTGCATTAACTCCTTGAGCATGACTTGGGAAACTCCTGAGTGGACTGCCTAGGATAACTTAAATTTAGAGAATTTATTTAAATCATTTACAAAAAGCACTCTAAATTTAATGTCAATAATTTAGGAAAACTCTAACCCTAATGCCATTGAGTTGCCATGTACCAACAATAGCAATAACTACATGAGGGAGAGGATGATTGCATAAGAATTGCATGGACAACTAAAGTCATTATGCATGCATAAAATATGGCAGAAAGACTACAGTCATTATAAAAGCTCAGGATGTTAACACATTGAGGACCATGAACATAAATTTATGCTGTGGGAGGACTTTGGCATCATCCTGGTCCCATAAATCTAAATGAATTTTGTGAACATTCCTGAACGACTTGTTGTTTGAAACATGCATGCAAGTACAGTAGTTTGTGAGTTATGAATTTTCTCATAAAATTAAGTAAAATAAAGATTTTTTCTAAAAATTGCTGGTCCCAGCAGTTGGACAAGTGTCAGGTACCCAGTCCTCAATTTGTTAATACTGGCAATTGAAAATTCAACACCAATAGATGTTCTACAATATCCATAACAGAGGAGATTTTGCATACTAAACAATGCTCAATTGATTTGAGCCTTAAGTCTTATTGAAAATTGTACTTGATGTTAACTCATCAATGAATTCAACTTGACCACACTAACAGTTAAAATTCTGAGCAACAAAATACCATTAAAAGCAATTGCCAAGTCCACAGCTGTTTCCTTAACAACCACTGGAATTTCCAATCTCATCATTATTTATATGGACTAATGCTAATTAAATTGGCCAGTGCTTTGTCAATAAATGATTTAGAGTCCAGCAATGCTTGATACCCTAAGAAAAAGTAGACCCGTACAAGTTTTACTACATGCATTATTTCATACGATAAGTTGAAAAAAGCAACAATGAGTCATGTATAATACCAGTGTAACATCTGTTTTTAGTTTTCAGACTTTTAAGCTTGGGGTTCAAAGTCTGCCTCATCTGAGGAACTCATGCAAATCATGTAAATCCTCCCAAGAATACACAAGCATCTTCTAAAGTTTTCCACATCCATAACAATGAATTCTGAGGTGCATTGCCATTGGGTCCAAGAGTCACAGATTGAATCCTGGATGCAACCAACACCTTCGCATCCTCCCATGTGAATGTTTCAAGATAAAGAAAGCAAACTTGATGCATTAATACAAGGAAATATGGTGTAACAAATTAAATTTATTCCTAAAATGATTAATATTATCCTATGAATCGCAACGTTCACTTTCTCCAATATTGAGCAAATTTGTGGATTTGTTCCACAAGGACAGGCATCACAGATGAGACAGAGACATCAATCACACCTTGTAAATACTGGATCGCTTCCTCTTCAGTCAGGTCCAACCGAAACTTTTCCTGTTTATCCATAAGGAAAAACTCTTTCAAATATGACCATTTCCTCTCTCCGATAATCTTTTCATATTTGCATTTTTTATTTACTTGAAGTAGGTCTAATTATTTAGAGTTTCTTATTCCTGAACTTTATGAATGGGTGGGATATGTGAGAAATATACCTGGACTTTCCGAAGGGTCTTATCTGGTTCAAGGGTGATATCTGGTACACTAGCATCCACCATGAGGCTGAAGAGATTCAGAATCAGGTTTGCATGCCTGGTATCCAAGAATGAAAAAATGAATGATTGTCAAGACAGTACGAAGCACCCTATCAGAAGCATCAGTTGCCTATAATAGAGTCTGCAGTGTTCATTTCTGTTCATGGATGCTTGCTGGGAACTTCTTTATAAAACTACAAGGTGCTGAAGGAATTTATAAAATAAAATAGCTTATATGATAATAACTTGCTATGCATGAAGGAAATGCAGCTGATAACGCATTAACAAAAAATTCATGTCTACCTATAAGGAAAAATAAATATATAGAAAGAATTGAAGATTAGGTCTGAAAGCTCCGAGCTCTTATTCTGGTGTGATTAATTGTTTTACATCATAACAATATGCCCTGCAGATTATCTGCAGCTCCACTTAAGAACAAACATGAATGCTCTTTTCTTAAGTCAAGTGATTCTATTCATCTGCTTTGATAAGTTTGTGGATGTTTGTATACACATATGAAAGAAAATAGATGAAGGATTTATAGCAGGGTTTTATTGATAATCCAAGTGGCATATCAGAGACAGGTATTTGCCAAAAGTTGGTTGATGCCAATACTGAGAGAATTTGTAGGCTGGCTTTTAGGACTGCTTTCAGAATCAAATGAGGCCACTTCTAAAAGCTTGGTCCTCTAGGGTGTTCGCTGGAAGTTCCTTTCAACTAACTTAACCCAATTCCTACAAAATCTTCCCAACCATCCCTCCCTTTTTTGCATACACCAAGGTATGCTACCTAAAATAATAAAGTTTGTTAATGCAAAAAATAGATATGCCTCATAATATTAACAGTAGCTAAGTGAAAGTTACCACAGTAAAAATGTGCTCATGAAGCCATATCAGCTTTTATCACTAAAGATAGATCATTATAGGCATATCCTTTTGGATTTTGCATACCTCCTGAGTGAGAGGAAGGCAATGTAGGCCTGTTTGCGGAACTGTTGATAATGTTCTGAGGAGAGGCCTCCCATGGCCTCCACCATCTCCCGACTCAGCTTCATAGGTGGTGGCATTGGCTTTGGATCCCGGCCAAGGATGTAGCCAAAATCGATGTGGAACATCTTCCCATTCCTTGTCAAGAGGAGATTGTCCAGGTGCCTATCTCCCACACCAAGGAGATATGTGATGACACAGTAGCCCGCTGTTCAGAAAAAAAATAATATTATAATATCCCATATAGAAGATACAAAGGTCATCAATAGCCAATCATGACAAAAGGACAGACCACAGCTGCGGACATAGTTATCAAGTACATCTGCAGAAATTCCATAGGGACCAGAATCTGAAGGATTATGGCGTCGAAGATAACCCTGAATGCTTCCATCCAACGTGAGAGCTTCTGCGATTGGCACACTTTCAATAAACTGCACAAATCCTGTATGGGATAGAAGAGATGCTTTACTGTTCTCTGCACTCCAATTGGAAAGCTTGCAAGTCAATATTTCAACTGGAAAATTGCATTAAATTTGGAAGTCCATGTGGATTTGTCAATGCATTAAATTGAAAACTGAGAAAGAGTTTTTCTGCATAACACTATAGTTTCAAAAAGATTTATTTACTTATAAAGGTACCACTATGCAAGGAATTTGTGGTATTTTTTCACCCTACCATGCTTTGTGCTGGTGGCAAGAACACGATATGGAGTAAGCTTGAGATCTAGATTGTCTCGACGAAGGAGTTTGTCCATGAGGCTGATCATCTGAAGGATGAGTTGATCCTGTCGCAGGTCATCTCCTTGCTTCATGATGGCGACAAATTCTCCACCATCCACCATGGAGAAGGCAAGCTTGGCTGGCATCAATGAGGACTGCAATCATGCAGGAAGTCAGTTTCAAGATTCAATATACTTCAACAGATATGGATTAATGGAGCACTTCACTCCAATAACTAGGGAGGTTTGATCTGAAGAAATAAAGACAACTACATTTATTAGCTCAACTTTATAGAGACCTGCTCTTTCTCATGGTCTTCACATTTTGAACTATGAGAGACATCAAAAGCTACAGAGAAAAATATACTCCAGTTTGACCCAATTCTGTACATGAATGTATATGTAAAAAAACTTGCATGACAAAATGGCCATGCAACATCAACCAGGACTTGGAGAAATGGAAGATCTAAGCCATCATTGGCAACTGCTTCTTTCATGGATTGAAGCAACAGAGACCCAGGCTGAAAATGTGACAGACTATGGCACATCAAGGCCCTCTCTTCCTGGTCAAAAAATCACTAGCTACTTTCTAAGTAAGTAAGCAAATCAAATGCTGAAGATATCCCAAGATCTAGGCATACTGCCATAGCCTCTATTCAGGAAAATGTTGAAGTCTGGGTTATTGTAGAGAAAATCACCATGTGACTTATGGGCAAACTTAGGAGACTTTAGGGAAAAGTGTAAGGAGTTACAATGTTCTGCATGAACATCTGGGACTGAATAAATTTTGGGTTAGGTGAGTGTTCATCTCCTCCATGACTACCATGACACTCCATAGTGTCAGATGGAATTCTTCAAATTCATGTTTGAAAATTTTGTAGAAAGAACCTCCAACAAGTGGAAAATGAGGGTACTTGTTATAAATCTTGGATATATCATCATGACATCAACATACAGGCACTGGCAAATAATTTTTTTTGTTAGACAAGTCCATATCAATAACTGTGAAGGATGCAGGAGTGCTGGGAAAAGAATGCTTGCAATTTTTTGCCAGCAAAAGGAGTTGTGGCATCAGTACCTCTAGGCATAGAACAACCTCAGAACAGTACATACCAGTTGCCCACCAAAGACTACTGAAAACCTGAAGATACACTGTCCAATATCTCCACTGAACCAATGGTTCCTCCATCAAGACAAAACTTTGAACACCACAGCACTATGCACAAATGAGATTCTAAAGAAGGCCACAATCAAACTATGGCTGCACCTGTCCTAATCCCCAGATATTAATCCATGTGATATTTCCTCTTGCCCAGAGCCAAATTTAAAAAATAAATAAATAAATAGGATTTAAGTGAATGTGGCAAGGTGAGAAATTTGTAGAACTTTGAAAAATGTTTGCTCTCTTAAGTGATGGAATTCATTTAAATGAAAACATAATGACATTTTGAAACCTATTGGCTGCATGACTTCAAGAAAGAAGGGCTCAGTTAAAATTTAATTAATTTATTAAATTATTCAAAATTGAGGGTTAACATCACCAATAAATTAGCAGCCCTAGTGAAAACATACATAGTAAAGAACAAGTTCCTAAAAAAAAAAGTATGACAATATATAGTTCAGCTTGCCTTGAACAGATGGCATTTCTCAGGGATGAAACCAGTGATGCGAACATTAGGTTCAAGAGGAAATGGAAGAGGGTCTGATGAAGACAGGATGCAACGGTGTGACTCTGAGTCCCCCAGGATCCCTTGAAGGCGTTCAATCTTCTTCTTCCTATTCCCACCCTCTTTGGCCAAGTTTCTCAGGATCACCACCAGGCGGTCCACAAATTTCTGCTGACGGGAGAGCATTGTGCGCCTCCAGCGATGTTCCTGTAATAACAGCCTCACAGCCTTCATCAACAGGAATATCCCTTGACTTCAAAAAGTCACAAGACAAAAAACGCAGAGGCAGAACCTTGCCACCCGACATGAGAGACTGAGAGAATCTCTTCATGACTGTGATGTACATGGACTGAGGACTGGCTTCTTCCACCTTTCCTCCTTCTCCCCCTCCTTCCTCACATTCCACCATCAAGTACCTGTCACAATCAAATAAACTTGAAGAGTGCAGGGGCCAACCAAAGCTATGCAACTTTTCAGCAGTCAACTCTTTCTCTGGGTCGGTGTTTCCTTATTTTGGTCTAGTCATTTTTTCATTCTACATCCTACATATGCAAACAACTTCTAAGCCTTTGAAGGGGACAAAAAACCTATAGAGACTCACACCTAACATAGCCTTTCCAATGCTGTCATCCTCTTTGCATGCCACTTTTACCTTTGCTGCATAGCAAACCTAGCCTGGCATCAAATCATTTTAGAGCTTCGTGGAAGGCTACCATTCTTGTGTATCATGCTTACTTTCTTTTTTTTTTACCCTATGTGCATCATTGGTGACACAGCATGTCCCCACCTGCAATATGTTCTACTGACCCAGAACAGTCTCAAAGTTTGCCAATGGGGTCACTCATCTGAGCAGGCAGGAACTTGGCAACCAACCAATCTTCCTGCCTGAACACTGACTTTCGCAAAAGAAATTCAATCACTTCTTCTTAAGTCATCCTTTAAAATATTTCAAGTCTGAAAAAAAAAAAGCATTTTGAAGCCGAGTCTTTCTTTTCTCCATTAAAAAATATCCTTGAAAGCATCACACCTAAAATGCACATTGAAAAAGAGTACCCTTTTCTTTGGGCCACCCTATATATCATGAGTGTCTCAAGAGTGGACATATAGAAAGCTATTATTGACCTTGGGTGGACAGAGGGGAAGGATCCTTCATCAAAAAGAGAAAGAAAAATGAGTAAAAGAGTAAGTTCCATTCATGGTACAAGACAAGCAGCCTATACACTTTTGATTAAATTCATTCACACTATCCCATGTCTGAATTAACAAGGCAAGGGTATGCAAGCTATAAGCAGATGATGCATATGGGAGGAGAGAGCATAAGGGTCTATCATTACAGTAAATGGAAGGGCATCTTGGTATCTTGACTTTCCCTACAAAATTTCTTTACTGTGTGGATACAGATTCTCTGCCTTCCTTTGTCATTCAAACAAGACATAGCTAGACATGGTTTATGAGATTTTACTGCTACAAGTCATCCCTTCCACTGTAGTAAAATAGAAGAGGTTTCATTGCAATGATTTACTCAGAGATAATAATCAGACATATTCAAGTTCATCAAAGCACATTCAGACCCATTTCAACCTAATTCTTCTGGAGAGTTTATCCCTATTACAGGAGGGAATGTGAAGCCACTTTACACTGAAATGGTCCAACCTACTTCATGCTAGAAAAAGGCAAACTAGCCCTGGCATTAAATATGAAATAACTATTTTAGGGGGGAATTGCCCTTCAGAATCCTCTTTCAGAGGGTTAGCAGAGTTCTTTGAAAACTTGGTTTTAATCCAACATGTGATGACAAAAAGCATCTTATACAAGTGAATGTATGGACTTTTTCCACTTGAGTGATAGGAATGGGTCTGGGCCACATCATCATACATCACAGTTTGCACTTGTGTGAAGTCTAAAACTTCAAGTCAAGTAAGACAAAGTGTAACAAATGCCACTTCATTTCATATGAAAATTTGAATCAAATAAGTACAACTAGTATTATCCTGACTTTGTTCCTATAAATTAAAAAAAAATGAGATGAGACTGTCAATGAGAAGGGCAAAGTCAAGGAGTCTTCAAACTACAGGGAAACTGTGGTATTTGAGCATTGGCAGTGATTCTCACTTTTTCCATAACAAAAGCAGGCAATCAATTTTGACCACCTCCACTGTCCATGAAAGTCATGTGATAGCTTGGATTCAATTATCAACCAAAAAGTAGGCCCATGAGCATGCCATCTAAAAATCAAAAAGCCTTGAGGCTAAGCAATATCCAATACTAGAAACCTATCCTCCCACACCTCAGGTCTCATGATCAGAAATCTACACAGGGTATAGAGAAGAAAAATTTTCCCCAGCACAGTCATAATTGCTGTATGGCCAGCATAACAAAACTTTTGGACCATGGGAAAAGCAGTTAAAGATCAAAGCCACATGCAAAATAAAATTTCAAAGGGGGAAATACAAGACACTCCATACAGAAACTAATTAAAAGAAATTATCTTCTGTGAGGAGTCACTTTAAAAAAAATAAGACTCTCCAATGCAAAAGTTACTATCAGTTCATCTCTCAGAATGAGAAAGATGAAAGTTCAATATCTGTCCACAAGACATGAAAAATCCATATCAAGCAAGGCACACTATTAGCTCACCAGTATAAATAGTTTGCAAGAGCAGTGTTGTTGGAAGCACGACGAATGAGAAAGGAGGCTAGATCAAGGTCTTGGTCCTCATCAATCCCTTCATATCTCTCTTTCTCCTCATCCTTTTTCTCCCCACCTTCATCTCCACTCTCTTCCTTCTCAGAACCCTCTCCAACGTGGCCCCTGTTCCATGGAAAATCCTCTCAAAAGCAAGCATACACCACAAGAACACTGAAGGAAAGGAAGGCTAGTGAACTGACAATGTAGACACAGGAGATGATGATGATACCAGGCAGGACTTTATGACATCATAATTCTCATACTTGAGTGCCTGCACCAGCTGCAGCAGATACAACTGGAGGTCCTGAAATGAAATCAAAATCGCCTGAAAACTATCCAAAGCTATACACATAGAATTCAAAGAAAAGGAAACACAAGAGGATGAGACATCATCTGGAGCTTGGTTGAGGCGGGCCACAGCATATCGGCGTACAGCTTGTTGATGGAACCGTGGAGTGAGGAATTCCAGGGCATCTTCTGGGTTCACAGGAGCCCATTTCAACAAGAGATCACATGCTTGCTTGGATGCTTCAGGCATAGTCCAAGGCACACATTGCAGGAACTTTGATAGCGCCTAAAAAAAATGGATTCAGAGCTAGACTAATGCAGTATTATAAGTCAAGTGAGGCTGAAGAGACATAAGATTTGAAGAGAAGATTGAGTCAATATAGAAGTTCATGTTCCCCATTCATGGGGCTCATGAAAAAGTCACTGTTTAGGCACCTGCCTGATCAGAACAAACAGCCTGTGAAAGAGTACCTATATACCTGGAAGTACATGAGAATGAATCCATGAAAAACCTATTTTCCTCTTTCTTTCCTCTCAGTCCCTGTCCTTGTACAAGAATTACCCATGTGCATGTAAGAGGCAAAATTCATATGCTTCCACACAAGCAGCATAATGATTCACACAAGCAAAATGAGAGGTCATTCTGAACACCAATACTAGGACATTAAGATATTTTGGAATGGGTACCCAAGGATCAGAGTTTTGTGATATCAGTACTTTTAACTACATCTAGGAAGCAAAGGGTTTAGAAACCTAGGATGCACTGGAATCCCATGAGCCCCAAAATGAAAAGTAAACCTCTCAATATAGATATGACAGAGCATGTGTCATAGGCTTCTTTTGTGATCTCATGTTATGCATGTCTCAAGCTATCTGCACAGATAAATCTCAAGAAAACTGAGGGTGAATAGATTGTGAGGGGGGGTATGCCAACAGAAGACAAGTAGTTCAAAGTTCCTTGCAAAGTTTCCAGGATGATGTTACAAGAAGTCAAGCAAAAATTACAGATGTTTATCAGCAAATGGATTTATTCCAGCATTCATCTCCCTGATGTAGCACTTCAAGGATGACTGAGGGGAAGGGCTTGGCATGTAGGGTAGATGATATAAATTCCAACCCTTTAAGCTCAAAATCTGCTCCCTCACCCATGGTTTGAAAACTATTTTTTGAGGTGGAAGATGAAAGTTCCAATTGAGAGGAAAATGCACACACTGCCCATTCACGTTTAGAGACCAAGCATTCGTGTAATTTTGTTGAAAAAGGCTGTTTGTAGTTCTGATCATGGTGAAATATGTAATGTGGGGGGAGACTTCATAGCAGGGTCAGAATTTGTATCACCCACCCTATACCTCACTCAACATCATCATGTTGAATCCTAGAGTAGTGATACTACAATAAGCCAAGCCATCTAATTATAGCAGCGAAGAGGCCCAAATCATGTAGGGAAACCAAATCCTCTCCATCAAGATAGGCTTTAGCATCTGAGGAACATTAACCCTTTCCCTGGCATTGATGTCTTTTTACATCCAGGAGACGCCAATGCTTCTCCTCCTCTAATGTCTCCAGAAGGAGGCTGGAGATTAAAATTTTTCTGTCAGGGAAAGGGTTAAAAGGGTCAAAGAATGTGAATGACCTGCAAGGCCACATAAACCTACCTTTTTGTTGGAAACGAGATAGAAGCGAAACTTCCAGAGGAGGTCCTCCTCCTCAGCAGCCAGGGGCTTTGTTGGTGGATACAGGCACATGATATGCAAAGCATCCCGGATAGAAGCATTTGGTTTCAGGTCTCGATCTGACAATCCGCTCCTCAGAGACCGAGCCAGTTTCTGATGCTTGTTCTCCACCACATTATCCTAAATAACAAACCAGGACACCTGAGAAATGAAGGATGCCTTAGAACAAACACAAAGAAGAATGAAGAAGAATGCCCTCTCACAAGAAGCAGTTCTGGGTCATCAACATGGAAGGAATGTGAAGGCACAGGATAAACGTCATCTCCATCTGGCTCATAGTACACCACTCCACACTGAGAAAGAAGCAAAAAATATAAAAACCATCATCATTCATTTACAGTAAGTGAACAGTGAAATCCAACAGAATGTCTTCAAAATCACCGAGCAACCCACTCATTGGATGTGTTATCAAAATTCCAATGAGGTTGTATTTGCACTGCACATGACTGAGCATACTACACTCAGCCTGCAAATACTGTATCAAATTGCGATGTTGTAATATAACATTGAAATATAATCCTGGAAATAAGCCATCTATAATCAATAATACATCTACTGCATTTTGTGCTTTGGCACAACTAGTGGCATATTTTTACCTTTCAACTGTCATGCCAGATAAATCAACTCATGTAGAAATCTCTAAATTTCAAAATCAGAGAGCAAAGATATGGTTCCAGGTCCTTAACCCTTTCAGACCTGAATTAAGGCCGCTATTAGAATAATATCCTTTTTTGCATTTTTGAGCTCTTTCGTGATTGTAATTGAAATTTTTGTGCTTTATATGCAGTTTTCATATTTTGTATAAATTTACCATATCATACCATATATTATACATTTAATTAAATAACTGAAGATTACAAAACTAATGGGTGAAAGAAGGCCTCTGATAGAACTAAGCCATGCATAATTGTGCCCATTGTAGCGTAATATGGAGGGCAAAGTCATGAGAATTCTAAGAAATTGCCATAGACACAATGTAAATGTAATGTCCATTGGAATGGATGCCAGGTCTGAAAGGGTAAAACAAGAATATTATGTAAACTGAGTACTTTGAATAGCCACTTTTAACAAATGCACTGAGAGGCTTTGGGAGTTATTAGTGGAAACAAGACTACACAGATGAACAAATTGCAAAACTTTGAATTTACCATCATAGGAAGGAAACTTACTGGCTTCCTGTCTACCTCAAATGATGGGAACTGGATCATGAGATAGATGTGATTGGAATGTCGTTTCTCCTTCTCATTCACCATTTCTATTTCCCGGAATGTCAGTCTGTCCATCCAGTCCACTTTAGGGATCCCACCTCGATGATGCATCTTCACCAACTGAAGAAAAGCAATACCTCATTCATTCACCCATTGTGTACCACAGGAGATCAGCTTAGTCCATAACCAAACAACCTTAGCCAAGCGGTTCATCTCAGTCAAGGATGAGGTCATGCTCTCATCTCCAGGTTTCAAGACCTTTGGAAGAGAAAGGTCAAAGATTCAATGAGAGCCTCAGGGAAGGCCTTTCACAAGAAGGGAGAAGAAATATTCCAACCTGAAGATCATAAATGCCTTCTCTAAGGAGTCCATTCTTTCCAAAGAGACTGATTTGGGCACTCCCAATCTGACTGAGGCCTCGAGGGCCAAAGGAGTCAGAAATTTGAAACCTGAGTTCTGCATCTCTTGGCATATCACAGATTCGCACTGGTAGCTCCACCCACTCATTCCAACTATGGTACATGCAAACAACCACAGTCAAAAACAGTTATGGTGGTGATTCACAAGAGAAGGTGATGTATAATTTAAAATGTATTTATTCATTAATCCAATTAACAAGAGCACTTTGGCAATACTTTTCCAAATTATTATTATTTTTGGCAGAGTTAAGAATTGGTATTCTATCTGCTTTTTCTCTAAATGCTAAAAAAAAAAAGTATCTGCTCACAGGCTGTGCAGAGCAACAAGCTAACCAAAGAACCTATAGAATGCCAACAACAATATTAGGCATATCTTTTCAAAGGATGCATTCATTCATTCATCAACATGTATAGTATTCTGCAGGATAACATGCAAGGTACACATATGCATTTTCTCCTGGTCAGGTACACATACCTCCATCGTGAAGAGAAGGACTTGTAAGGTGTCACAACAGAATGGTTGAGAGTACCATCTTGGCAGGAAATCTGGCATGTAATGTGGAAGCTTGGCTTCTCCTCTTCATGAAGCCCTGACAGTCTCAGCAAAGGCTTATCGAGAATTGCCTCAAAATCTGGCTTTCCAACCTCTCCTTCAAGGCTCCCACTTAAGGATAACAGGAATTGGAGTTACACATCATTACAAGTATGAACACCAAGAAGACTTCTAACATCATTTATAAATTTGGTTTCCTGCAAAACAGATTGCTTCAACCTGCCCAAGTCTGAAGCCACTCTAGTGCTCATACTTCTCTGGCACTTATTTTGTCAATAATGTAAATGAACTATGAACTCATAAATCCCTGGGAAAATTATAGTTCCCCATTAGGATTGAGAATACTGTGTCAACCTCTGTTAAGAGATAAGCAACAGAGAAAGACACTCTGCACCCTTCTGCTGATAAGCCTATCCTCTTTAAAGGGGGAGGAGCCAGCTTCAATCAATGTAGATAACCATGCATGCTGCAGACATCCCATTAATAATTACTAGCAATATTTGTATGCTTACTCTCTCCTTATACTGACCTAGGAGTCAAGATTAGAGACACTACACATGTACTTCTGAACATCTTTGAAGAAAAAAAAAATCAGGGACTTTAAGAAACCAAAAATGGCCATGCCGTGTTCTGTTTATGCTATGAGCTGACAAGAATCATTTTGAAGTTCCCCACATTTTGATCCATAGTCGAAGGTCAAGATCACAACTGTAGATGTAAGAAAAGGTGCTGTCTAATGAATGTAAGTCTCCTTTCTCCATTCTTCTATCATCTTCTGCACATTTCACAAGAAAAACATCAGGAACAACCTGTGACATGGTCAATGGTCAATTGGTCAAAAACAGGAAGAATTTTTGAAAATAAGAGACCTTGGCACACTTGGCCTCAAGTGCACAGGCATATAAGATAGCCAGTTTTGTGGATGTCTCAATCCCACAAACTCACCAAAATTCAGATGGAAACAAATTTCAAAAGTAGCACCAATTCATAGAAGAAAAACAATGTTGAGAACAAGGAAAATATTTTTATTCTCGATCTTTGAAATTGTTAATTGATGCAATGTAAGAAAATTGCTCCTCCTTCCAAAGGAAAGGGGAAGGAGATCATTACCTGGTCCCACTGAAATCAGTCAATCATTTGATGAGAATAGAGAATCAGATTTGGTTGTGGTTGGACCTAACTAAAATAAGAGGCACTTCACACAGAATATTTTTAAAAGTACTTAAGTTACTTGTGCATTATAGTCAGCAACAACTACAAACCCTACACTAGCTACAAAAGCAACTTTTAGCCAGCTGCATAACAATGTCACATGATTGAATAGGCATATGAATATCACCAACTTCAAGTGATGCATAGCTTGTACCATGACACCACAAGGCACTCTTAGAGGCATATCAGGCAACTTTCACAGTTAAGTATCACAGTAAAAAGTAGATTGTCCTTTTTCCTTTCCTTTTTTCTTCTTTCGATCAGGTCGTGTGGGCTGATGGGTAGAAGCACTACTTCTTGCTTTTACTGACTCCTTCTCCTTCACAACTGTTTCACCAAAAGAATTAGCTTCAGGCAGGGTGGGCTTCAGCTGTATTGTATTCAGCTGCATTCTACATCTATCAGCTGCAGCCATCATATAGGTGTAGCTGCATTCAGAGATTCCCCTGACCCATTGTGATGCCTGTGCAGCTGACCGACAGCCAAAGATATGTCGACAGAGAGGGGCATCACGGAAAATCACAGAGAAAGCATGATTGAATTCTGTGAATCCTTCCAGTTGTGCATGGCAGTTCTCAAGGACCATCAGAGCAGATGGCTCTTCCTCAGAGATCCCACCATATTCATTTAAGCGGAAGGAAAACAGAAGGTTCCCACAAAGTTTGAACCACCTCTCCTGACTTGACTCACTCACTGACCCATTAAAAGTTGGGTCAAAGCGATGACTCAAACGACCCTCCAAGTCTTCTCTTCCCCGTGACAAGCACAGAGAGATCAATGTTTTGTCATTGAATCTCATACTGATAAGTCTGCATAAAATAGATCACCAAAAAAATACATGTCAGCCTCTAAAAATATACCAAACTTCTGAGTATAAGTTGGATAATAATGACCCTAAAAGTTGGTTGAATGACTATGAAACATGATTTAAAAAATCATTAAACATGACCAAAATATAATCTTATATTTAAATGATAGTGAGACAAGGCAAAAATAAATTTGAGAATAGGCAGAGGGGGTAGTAGGAGCTAATTTGTGAAATGAAAGTTTAGGGCCACTGGCAAGAATACCACAGTAAATGAGGTTACAAAAACTTGTTGAAGAAAACCATGACCAAAGAACACCATATATATAGTCAAAATATAACTGTATACCTTCAAACATGACATTAAATATAATTTAATGTATGAAATATGATCTTCTGAGATCAAACAACTTTGGCTCATTTTATTCCCTCTGATGCCAGGAATCCATCCAACATACCTGAATGCATTTGCGAAGAAGTAGAAAACATGTGACTTTCCCAAGAACTCTATCCTTTATGTATACCACATGAGTTAAATCAAGAAAATGCCATTTATTTTTCCAGTGAATTAATATCAGGGATTTTTGTAGTTCAATTGGGACGCTACCATTCTAATCTGAAAAAGGGCACCTTGAAGGGCATCTTTGAGTGAAGTGTCTCACAACCTGATGATGCATTGTGCAAATGGACCCAGAGGCTATAATAAGTCTTTACCATAGGTATAATGTGATGAATCCATCAATATCTTTTGCTGCAACATGACATATGCTTATGAGCTTTTTTTTTTACAAAATACCCATCCATAGTATTTACGCCTTGAAATCTTAAAATATTTTGAAGTTTCACCATGTAAGAGCCCTCACCATGACAAATGTTCATTTGTTCATGCATTTCAGTACTAGTATCAACTTCTGTCCTTCCGGTATTTCTAGAATGCACTATCACTTAACAGCAAAGAATAGGTAATTGATATCTGCTCATTGTGGTGCTCTGGTTGTGGTATCGTTTTCTTAGCCTGTCTAGAGATTTCTGGTGAGAATAACTGTAGCTAGAGAGAGAATTCACTTCCATGACATTGATCATGGAGATGTATTTGTAAAAGATTCAAACCAGAATTTCTGTACCCAATAGGGTAAGCACCCTAGTTTCTGGCTGGTCTACAGTTGTTGGCCAGTGAGGCTTAAATCCAGCATAATTAGTTAATCTGGCCATTTTCAAGCATTCTATCCACATCTTCCCATACAAGGACCTATTACTAGTGTTTCCCAGTGTGCACACAGGGTGTTCACTTCCTAAGGGAGTCATATCAGCATGGCTAAAAACTGGGGTGTTTACCCTACCTCAAATTTAATGATATAAAAAATTTCAAATTGGCATATTCAGAAAAGAATTTGAAATGAATATTATCCCATTTTCATCTATATTAGAAATCCATATGTATCCCTGCTAAATACTAAGTATTTAGCAGGGTTGGTAAAAACAATGATTCTTTAAACACAACAAACATTTTTTAATTTAAAAATCAGATTTCTTTTTCTACTTCTTGATTTTTTTATGTTTTATCTACCACCTTTTTACATGATTCATTATCCATTGTTTGGGTGCACACTGGAACATGGCAGACAATATTTATGTATACATTGCATATTTAACCTCATGGCATCCAGGTACTTTGAATACGTCAGCAGGGTCAATGAGATTTTTCCACTCCTTGGCATTAGGTCAACACAAGATAATTCAGGCATGTACACAACAGGGTTTAAAAAAGCCTAGCCCACTACCTCCAATGCATATGGCTTTTGTCATTGCCAGATTATATGGCCTTATTTTGCCTTTGGTTACAGGCCCTTACATTCATGCTGGTAACCCCTTCACCAGTGAGTTTTGAAATACAAAAGGGAAATGACTATTACTTCTCACTATGACATGCTATATTGCAAAAGAGCTAAAACCTACTTTTAAAAATTATGATTGACAGCTATAATATTACTATGAGCCTCAGTAATCATACTAATAGATATGAAAGGCCTGGCCAAAGTCTGAAATGTCAGTTGACAACTTATAGCAGCTTAAGTTGAGCTTAATGTGCTCTAGCGAGACATGGTAACAGGGTACCATTTGGGGGTATAGACCACACAAGCTACAACAATGCTTCTGAACCACCCCTGGAACTGTCATGTAATACCATGGCATGATGGTAGTATTGCGGGCACACAGGCAATCTTGTCTGGCCAGGCTGGGTTCAGGCTGTATTCTTTGCTAAGGGAGACCTAGTATCATATTGACGGATGAAGGAATTAGGGTTCACATTAACTTACTACAGTGAGTCCCTGACTCATATTTGTAAAACATCTAAGTCCATGGGACTCATTGGCAACCACCTGAACATGTTCCCACTGAGCTGAAGCTAGGGGTCACGGTGAAGTACATACCCTCTAGGGAGATTGTGTTGCTCCTTAAGTTAGGCCAGGTGAGGTTAGGTTAGGTTAGGGGGGTGGTTTATATTTTATATATATAAGGAAGCCCAATCGATGGAGCATGTTCCAGTTAAATTCATTGGGAAACATTGGAGACTGAGGGAGTGCAATTTCATTAGGGGGTACATGCTTAACATAATCATGGTCTACATAAATTATTTGGATCTGGACGTAGAGGGTAAGATAAGTAAATTTGCTGACGACACAAAGATAGGTTTTACCATAAGGGGGGAGGTGGATAGGGCTAGAGCCGAGCGAGATTTAAGTCTTTTCGACAAGTGGAGCAAGAAATGGCTCATGAGGTTTAATAAAAGTAAGTGTAAAGTTCTCCACGTTGGTCGAAACAACGATAGGTCTCTCGACACATTCGACGACGTTGAATTGGATGAGGCAATACACGTGATATCGAAATGGGCGAAATCGCCTCTTGATATCACTAACTCTCTTGACTCTTAACCATTACTGAAACTAGGAGCCAGGACTCAAGATTTTAAAAAGCTAGTGTGAACCCTGAGGAATACAGATTTGCTTTACTGAGGCGATGATGGAGGCACCCTTTGGGTTTTTATTTTTGAAAGGGTGGAAAGTGGGTGAAAGGGGTGAAAGGAATTTGGTGGATATTCTCTTGTACCTCTCAGAAAAAAATAAACTCATTCTTACTTTTAGATTCACATGGCTATTGTTGATACTTGCATAGGCCTACGTTCCTCGATGAATTTTTCGTCTTCCCCTTGTGAGTTTAGTGAGGAACGGTATCATCAAGATCCTTCAGAACAAACTCGCTACATCAAATTCAATGATAGGCCTAGGCTTAAAACCAGTTTTCGATGCGCTGATTCACGAAACAATGGTAAAAACTACCGAAGTCAATTACGCAATCAGATTGAACACTCATTCAGGAGCGTAAGGTCTCTTTTCAAGTCAACAGGCTATAGCCTGAATGCTGAAACCTTTAGTTAACGGTCATTAAAGAACGTAAACCCAAACGTGAGAAAAATAACTCTTTAGCTTAAACCCTTAAGCTAAAGAGCTCTTTTTCTTCCCAGAGGCGTCCATATATTCTAAAAGAACCGCTACCTAAAGTATGTTTCAGCATTCGGGCCTGAGAAGCCTGGGTGTACATCATGCTTCCATGCCCCACACATTGGCGGCGACCATCATGACTTGTGCACCCTCGAAGCACTGGTTTTCCGGATTTCTTCTCATTCCCGCGCCTGATCCCATTGATTTGTTAACATTTCTTCCGTCTGATGCAGCCGGAAGGTTCTCGACACGGGACAATTCTCGTACCTCTCTCATGTTAGTACAGCACAACTC